TCAGTCACCTGTCATTAAAAGAGAAAGCTTGAAGAATCAGAAACAACTCAATAAAAAGCATGTATACATCAAGATTTGGAGACAGCTTTGAGATTGCTACTTTATTTTACAGATTGCTACTGAAAATGGTAGGGTAGTTTTTCTCGAGCTTGAAACGCATTTCCAAGAAGTTTATATACTGAAAATGCCTCCAAAACAAAATCACTGAAAATTGTGAACTGTTTTTCTTTTCAAAACCTTACTTGTTCAATGGTTTAATTACTGTTGAGGAATAGTGCTGTACATACTTTTCTTCATAGTTTTAATATGTTTTATTTTGTTGGTAGTTTATTTGAAAATTATATAAAAAAAAGAGGGATAAAGAAAAATCACCCAGAAACCTCTCACCTAACATTCTGCTTTATTTCCTGTCTATGCCAAGTATAGATGTATAGAAAAGATGTCACTGTCCTCCCGTTTTTCATCAATTTGCTCGAGCAGGCCCAGTAACGTCTCCATCGTGAGACTTGTTGTTACTGTACGTCACGGGTCGCTTGCCAGGCTTTGCTGTGTGGGGAGATACTCTAGGTAGCTCGCCGGGCTCTCCAGGAGGGGCGGAGGAATCGAACCCGGTTCCCCGGGCTGGCTGCATGCAAGGCAAACGCCCTACCACTGTGCTATCACTCCAGCCTACAGAAAAGAAAAGCAATGAAAATCCTAAATAAAGGGAAGGAAAAAAAAACAGCAAATTTAACAAAAAACGAAAGATATATGATTAAAAAAGAATTAAGAACAAAAGTGCAAAATTTAATGTATACATATCTGATATGATTGTATATTTTGTAAGTATTAGATTGTATCATACTTTAAAAGACAAATTTATTATAATGTAATTTACATGAAATAAAGTACTGGGCCATTCTTGATTCTTTTAAAATACCACTGCTTGGTGATGGTTTATTAACTTCTAATATACTGCTAAATATAATCTGTCAAGTTTTATTAGGAATTTTGCATCTGTATTTATGAGTAAGTAGGATTTATATTTTCTTTTTATTTTATCTTTGTCAAAATTAAACAGAGATTATGAATAAGTATGACAGGAGAAACTTTAAAAAAAACAACAACTGTTCAACAGTATACATAATGGAAATAAAAAATCTTGGGAATGGTAAATTTCAAAAGAAACCTGACCCATTCAAATTTGTGTGGAAGAAATTATTGGGTAAGGGGAAACATCATGTGAATTTTAAAAATGAGTTTTAATAAATTTGCATGATTTTGGTGATTTTATTATTCCATGGATGAATAAAATAGCCATGATCAAATTATTAGTGCACAGGTACACCTATTTTTCTATAACACGTTTAAGCTTCTGTATATTTAAATTTACTACTAATATATTTTTATTTATTTTTTATTAGTGAAACACCATGAGGTACAGTTGTAGATTTACAAATTTTTGTGCTTGGATTTCGGTCATACCATGATCAAATACCCATCCCTCCACCAGTGCCCATTTTCCACCACCATAGATAATATCCCTCCCCCCCTTCCCCCCCTGCCACTGTGGCAGGGCATTCCCTTTTGTCCTCTCTCTCCTTTTGGGTGTTGTGGTCAGCAAAAGAGACACTGAGTGGCAAACATGTTCAGTCCAGTCTACTTTCAACCTGCATCTCCCCTCCCGGGAGGATCCTCCAAACACCCTCCATTTGGTGCTCCCTTCTCTATCTGAACTGTCCCTTCCCCCAGAATACCCGACTGGCCTCTAAACTACGGAGTAATCCTCCTGGTGTTGATCTCAGCTATTCTTGGGTATTAATCTCATATTTTGTTATTTTATATCCCCCAGATGAATGCAATCTTTCTATGTCTATCCCTCTCTTTCTGACTCATTTCGCTTAGCATGATACTTTCCATATTGTACCACTTGTATGGAAATTTACTACTAATTTGAGTTATGTTAATTTCTTCATTTCTCTCTCTCTCTCTCTCTCTCTCTTGCTCACTCTCTTTCTCTCTCTTCACTTTTTGACTACACCCCACTATGATCAGGCCTTACTGTTGGCTTGGCACTCAGGAATCACTCCTGGAGGTGGTCAGCCGACCATATAAAGTGCCAGGGATTGAACCTGGCTCAATCTCATGCAAGAAAAATGCCCTATCTGCATACTATCTTTCCCACCCCCATGTCTTTCTTTTGACCACAGGACTTCTATAATGTTTGCTTATAAACATCTTTTAAATATAGGTCATGTAGTATTTTATTGAATGCACTAATCAATTATTTTTATTCCTCTTTTCTTTTTTTCTTTGATAGGTTGTTTTTAAAAGTCTTTTCCCATTTATGCTGTCTAAATATGCTATGGTTGGCATGGTGTTATTATACCCTATACATAGTATACATCCTATTATAATGCACATATTCTAAGGTTGTTTCCCATCAGCTTTACAAAAGATTTTTCCTTAGTTTTATTTTAAATTTTATAGTCTCTGAGTCTTGGCCATTGATGGGATTACACGGCGCCAGGGGGCCAGGTGGTGGGTGTGACCCCCGCCTACTGGAATCTGGAGGATCTGGGTGGAGGATGCTCGACTCCAATCCGAGTAGGCTTGGAGATCTCGGCCCCGGAACCCGCGTGGCTTTGTCCCTCTGCCAGTACCTTCATGTGTGCGGAGAGTGGTCTCAGCATGGTGGTGGCTGGTCCTGGAGGTCTTCGGCTGCCGGAGCCCTGGTCGGGGCGGGGAGGAAAGCTCAACCTGCTCCCCTCCAAGGGGCCCCGGCGAGGAACAGCCAGGCGTGGGGGCAGGAGATTGCACTGTTCTCGTCAGGGAGCTGGATTTTATACTCTCTGAGTCTTAGCCGTTGATGGCGTCAGGGGGCCAGGTGGTGGGTGTGACCCCCACCTTCCAGCTCCCGGAACCGCGCGGCCGCATTCGCAGCCGTGTGACATCTTATCAGGACATCTTTTTTATGACATCTTATTATCTCATTCCTACTTTGGACAAACTTGCAGGCTATCGAATGTAGCCTGCCCACAGGGCAGAGTCTGGCAAACTCCTCGTGGCGTACCAAATATGCCAAATACCAGTAACAATGATGGGTCTCATTCTCCTAAAGAGCCTTGAATATAATCTCAGGGCTAGGATGAAAGAGATGTTACTGGGGCCTGCTCGAGGCAATCGACGAATAACAGGATGATGAAATGAAATGAAATGAAATTTATTTTAAAATTTGTCCAATCAAGTACCCTTCAGTTAGACATTAATTACCATCTCGTCCCCATCATTTCTATTTCATTGAACCATTTTTGTGTAATCTGCAGGTTATCACAATTGTACTAGACTTTTGCCGTCAGTTTATACCTTCTAAATAATAGACAATTCTTGCATGTAACTCGGCATATCTATTAAATTCATGAAACTCAGCTCTTTAAACTTTGATTATATAACCTATGTAATAACAAACACATTATATGACCTATGAAATAACAAACATTATGTAACCAATGTAATAACAAACAAACAAACAAATCCTGTTGTTCATCGATTTGCTAGAGCGGGCCCAGTAACGTCTCTATATTTTTGAGACTTGTCGTTACTGTGTTTGGCATATTGAATATGTCACGGGTAGCTTACCAGGCTTTGTCGTACAGGCGAGATACTCTCTTGGTAGCTTGCCAGCCTCTCCAAAAGGGGCTGAGCAATCGAACCCAGCTCCCCTGTGCTGGCTGCATGCAAGGCAAACGCCCTACTGCTGTGCTATGGCTCCAGCCCTGTGGAATAGACCTAAAAATTTCAAATAATGTCCCAAAGCGCAGGGTTGCCAATGTCTCTACCATTTTCTCAGGCCACGGTATTTTCTAGCTGCAGGATCAAATGCAGGCTTGCACATTTCTTTTACCTTTTCATGCCTTCGGTTGACAACAATTTTTGAACTTTTATTTTTTTTTTTCCTATTGTCTGTGCTCAGAAGTATAGGTAGGTGGATTTATAAAACTTCCTTTGTCTGATTATATTTTCTGTCTCTGCTTATTGGTTTCAAATGGTGGAAGCTTTAGCAGGGAGACTTGTAGAAGGGCTGTGTTCCTCTCCAGGTTTTGGATCAGGAGTTGTCTGAATCAAGACAGTCATGTTGATTTAATCACGTTCGTTCACTTCTTCCAACTTGTGTCTGCCTTATGCCTGTATCATGAAGTTATCCCCTCCCTCCACTCTAAGTAAGTGATGAGAAGAGGCATGAATTTATACGGCTCTTCCATCTTCAAATGAGTCTAACTTTCACTGTTAGTTTTCTCCCAAAGCAATTATTATTATAGCTTTTTTTTCCCCAATCATGCACTTATACCTTTGTCATTTCCTCAACACTTACTAGTGGGATGAATCTTCTAGAAAACAAAAGGAAAGAACAGAAGTCTTTCCTTCCTTTTTCAGAAACATGCATATGTATGTGTATGCATCGTCTTATTGTGTCACTATGGGTGTCTGGGCTTCATTTTCATTCCGTTTGTCAAAATCAGTTACCATTATTTGTCATGATTGACTGTCATACTTAAACTTTCCAGGTTTAGTATCCAGCTGTTTCTTACATTATTTTTGATATGTTCTCATCAGATTTTCAACACTGCTCTATGCTAGAAGATAAATGTGTTAAAAAAAAAAGTCATCTTTCAGTTGCTGTTTTAGTCATGGTATCACCATATTTTTGTATAATGATGACAGACATGATACATATAAGCACCAGCTGTCCACACATTCATACACATGCATATATGTGAAATCATCAGTTCATATTAATGCATTTTATTCAAAATCACAACCTCAAAGAACTCCCAGGACCTGGGAAGGGAAAAGGAAACAAAGCAAAATAAGTATTTCTTTGTTTTGGGGGAAGGACTGTAAAGTATAATCTCTTCCATTAACATTTTGTTGGACAGAATTAGGATGATGTTCTTACCTGGCAGGGGAGATACCAAATTATGGTTTGCAATACAGATACTGAAAGGTTATTATTTTACCCTTTACCTATTTTCAGTACTCAGTTCTTGATCACAAAGGTGGTTTTCCCAGGGCGAGTCTTATCCATTGCACTCCGGATGTGCTGACCCCTGCGATTTCCCCAAATGTGGGAAACGCGACGGAATAATTTGTGGTAGTGGAAGACTACATTTGCGCTTTCCCTTTAAAAAAAAAAGAATTAGGATGCATGGACATGCCAAGGGGAAAATAGCGTACTATTTTTTTAATAGATAAACACAATATCTGATAAAACCAAAACGAGCATCTGTTGGTTAAAAAGAAGCGTAGAAATGAACATTAGGTTGGCAGCTAGCAATGAGTTTTGCAACATGACTTATAAACGAGAGGAAATCACGTAGAATGTCACGTTCCTTAATTCTGAGTAAATGACAGTATTTGATCTTTCATGCACCAAGCAGGAATTTCAAATGGTAGTATTCCAAGATTCACTTTTTATTTTAAAAAGGTAAAGGCCCTCCCATTGTTCATCGATTTGCTCGAGCAGGCCCAGTAACGTCTCCATTGGAGACTTTGTTGTTACTGTGTCTGGCATATCGAATATGTCATGGGGAGCTTGCCAGGCTCTGCCATGCGGGCGAGATACTCTCGGCAGCTTGCCGGGCTCCCGGAGAGGGGCGGAGGAATCGAACTCGGGTCGGCCATGTTGGCTGCGTGCAAGGCAAACGCCCTACCGCTATGCTATCGCTCCAGCTCCAAATAAATATTAATTCAATAAAATGTAGAAACATCTCATGAGAATAATGTTTATGAAGAAATGCTAAAATAATTACTTATTCTATCATACACTCTTCCTTGTGCAAAGGATAAAACCTAGACCTTATTTACATAATGAGTCCAATCAATTGTTTTATTTTTATTTTTTACATTTCCTTTTATTTTTAATTTTTTTAATAATTTATGTATTTATTGAATCACTGTGGGAAAAGTTACAGAGCTTTCAGGTTTAGATCTCAGTCATGTAAATATCAAACACATTTCCCTTTACCAATACTTATTTTTAACCGCGAACCCCAATAGAACCCCACCTCCCACCCCTCCCAATTCCTGTGAGGCAGATGAGTTCTAGTTAACACTCTATCTACTTTGACTAGATTCATTGATTCGATAAAAGATGCACCATTATTATTTAGAGTTTACGACCCCACCCCCCCAAATCAGACATGCTGAAAAAGCGTTGTGAAATTATTTGCTTTCTACAGCTGGGTTTTAAGAATTAAATGATGTCGCGCGGTTTTGGATTTCTGCTATTTTACTTATTAACCCTGGAAGTATTTCTATTAAAAGTTAGATAGTTAAGAGATTGGTTTCTGTGCTCTGGAGTCCTGGCCGTGCAGGAGAGCCGCTCGTGGGGGGCAACTGGTGACCTTGGCAGAGCGTGAAGGATGGACCGGAACGCCCCTCTTCCCATGAGGTTCCTGCCGCCCCCACCCCCGGCTCAAACCTGCTGTCCACAAGGCTGCCGTGCGGTCGCCATCTTTCTTTCCAGGGAGGAGAGGGCAAATGGGGCAACACCCTTTCCCCTCCGGGCAGGCATGACGGCGCGGTTTAACACAGTCCATTCGCCTTTCTGCTCCAAACGGCTGGTTTTCTGCGTTAAGTCCTTGTGCTTCTCTTATTTTTAATTTTGATATATTTTAATTGAATCATGGGCTGGAGCAATAGCACAGTGGTAGGGCGTTTGCCTTGCACGCAGTCAGCCTGGCCGAGCGGGGTTTGATTCCTCCGCCCCTCTCGGAGAGCCCGACAAGCTACCGAGAGTATCTCGCCCGCATGGCAAAGCCTGGCAAGCTCCCCGTGATGTATTCAATATGCCAAACACAGTAATAACAAGTCTCAAAATGGAGATGTTACTGGGCCTGCTCGAGCAAATTGATGAACAACAGGAGGACAGTGTTTGTTTTGTTTGTTCCTTTTTTACCTCATTGTTTTGTTCTGCCTCCTCCCTGCTTTTTTAAATCTTTTATTAGCTGCTGACTAAGAAATAATGCTAAAAAAACCCCTATTTTTAGGAAGAATAGCTTTATTCCCAAAAGATCATATTGGATGAGCCTCAAGAGATCACTGGCAAAAGAGGTTCATATTTTTACACAAAAAGGTATTTTATGCTTTCCCCTGTTGAAATGTGTTAAATGTGGCCTCAGAGGGTCTACCATTGAGTCTCTGACTTATGGTTGGGGAAGCAACAAACCACAAAAATGGGATCCTGAGGATTCCTGCTAGAGAGCCACTCTTCAATCTTTGAGACTGTTGACTTACAAACCAGGCCTTAATGGAGCTCTGTTTTCCTCTTGAAAAAAAAATCACAGCAAATCTTCTAAGTCTGGGGGGAAGAAAAAGCTAAGAGGAACTTGTCATTATTTGAAGCTGACTTATCAATCATGTTCGGTCCCAAGTCACAATTTGTCCAATTCTCTCCCTAAACACATGTGTATTATTAGGAAAGACATAGTTTAAAATAGTTTGAAATGGATGGGAAAGCATTGCTCTGATTTCTTTTCACCAAAAAATAATCCCCTTTGAGATTATATTTCACTGGAACAAAATTTTGAAGCCATAACATATCTCCAGTCTAGTAAATAAGCCCAGTTACTGCCTACTTAATGTCATGGGGCCACGAACACAACTCCGGGGACAACTGACCTTATTTGCTTCTCTGGATTTGGACATCAGTACACAGACATAAGCATCTAAAGATCAATGTCTCCAGATTCAAATACTGAAACTCTAGTTTGTCTAGACCTTTGACATATATCTAATTGCCAAGAAACAACATCAGTAAGTGAAAAATTAGCTCCACCACTTCAATATAAAATTTAAAATTGTGACTTTAGATAGCCTGAGGGGTTTTTGATTTCATGTTGCCAAAAACACAAAACTAAAAGATCTTACCTTAGAGCCCGAATTCCATATAATATTTGTATTAATTGACACATGGGAGTGACAATATTTTGGAAGAGTGTCATATAATTACACTCATGACCTGAGTTAACTGGTTACTAGGGACATGAGTTACTCCACAGAAGGCAAAAATTCTGAATACAAAGGAGAGGCGGCAGGTCTCGTTCCTCAGATTGGCATTTGTATTTGCAAATTCAAACAAAACTCTTATGTTTGATTTAATCTGTAATGGACCCCAGAGCTCTAGGATCATAAAGTATTTACCACATCCTTTAGAGGTTGCGTTCTTCAGAAGAGTATTTCAGAAGATGTTTCTAAAATTTGTATGAAGCACAGAAATTACTCTCACAATAGTGTTTTTAAAGCTTGTCACTCCCATCACTGCTCAAATAGAAACCACATACATTTCTATAGCTAAGTGACTCTAACATCTTGACATGATAAAAAACAATAAGACAGCTATTAAAAATCTCAATAGAATATTTAATACTAATTTCTACGAGCATTATAAGGGTTCAGAACAGATGGCCTCTGTACTTCCTATTTTGTCAAATGCTGACAATGGAAACTTCAATACCCAACAAGTTTCACCAATTGAGGGAGAGGAGAAAGCGAGAGTCATTGAGAGGAATGGAAATGTTCTTCTCAGCCTGGCTCAATGGAAGCTTCTCTTGGGGTGATTCTGGATTGTGGATACACAGAGGAGACTGCAGGTTTTGATGCTGTTGTAGAGTAGGTGTAGTGATGTCAAATGGACATCCGGGGAACACATGGTATTCAGACTCTACACTGAATCTTTCTCAGTGCACATTTTTTTTTATGTTAATAGCCACACCCTCCTGATTCAGTGTCATATGCCCTCTTCCATTCTTCTAGAATTTCTTCACTCCTCCACTCCCCATATACACTTAATTCCAATAGTTTACTCTCCTTTTTTTCTTAGCACAACTGCAGTTTTCAATTCTGCATCTGTCATTCACCAGAAACCATTGTCAAAGTAACCTGGATGCACCCTAGAGCTAATTGTGTTGTCTAGACACAGCAACTTTCCAGCCCTGGTTCTAATTAGTTCTCTCACTTGCCCTGTAACCGATCAACCTATTTTCTTATTACTTTCCCAAGCAGACCATTTGAAGCTGCTATGTTCTCCTCTTGCAGAGATACAGATCTTGACCCAGCAGTGACTGTGATTGTTATGTCTCAAAGATCTAACTCTGTCGCCTCTGACCTAGTCAGAGCTTCCTTATTCATTTCAGCCATCCTGTGACGGAGATCTGTCCAATATCCATCTTTCTGCTATCACAGCTGCACTTTCGTGTTTAGGTGGTATGTCTGTCTTTCCCTTTGCCCATTGTGTGTCAAGTGTTAGGTATGCTCATGGGACAATGCCTGGCCGTTCAGAGTGATGGAGATTGAGTAAGTTTTACCCATGAAATTCTGTTCCAGTGGTAACTTCCAAAAATTTGGGGGTGGATTAGAGGGAGGAAGAAGAGCCCCTGTACTTCACACTCTGTCTTGGACTAACAGGACAAAAATAACCAGGTAGGTTATTCTTGTAACTTACTATCCTATTAGAGCAAATCTAGAAAAATGGCTTGCAACTTAGCTGCCCTATTAAGCAAATCTAAGAACAAAACTGTCAGAGAGAAAACAAGAGTCTAGAGATGGAGGATTTGAATCCTTTCTCAAATTGTACCTGAAGTTACTGCCCACACTTACGGGAACTTGAATCGTGTTAAAATTTTAGCTGAAAGAATATGTGTTCACCCATTGCAAGCTAGTTGTATTCCTTAGAAAAAATATTATAGTTTAAGTAACATGGTTACAATAGTGTTGATGTTTATGATTCTGTTGTATAAAATTTTTATACCTTCACCATCATCAAAATGCCCAAGACCTTCTTCTCTCCTCTGTATGTCACCTTGAGTTCACCTTCTCTTTCTTCCTCCTTCCCCCACTGCTTGGTAATCAGTTTTGTAATCCAAAGTTAAGGGTATATAATTTTTTGATACTTAGATTTTCATATTTTTACTTCTTTTCCCTCGAGCGGGCCCAGTAACGTCTCCATTGGAGACTTTGTTGTTACTGTGTCTGGCATATCGAATACTCTCGGTAGCTTGCCGGGCTCTCCGAGAGGGGTGGAGGAATCGAACTCGGGTCTGCCATGTTGGCTGCGTGCAAGGCAGACACCCTACCCGCTGTGCTACCACTCCGCGGTAGGACGTTCGCCTTACAAGTGGCCAA